AAGGGGTTGGGGAGGGAAATCGGTGGACGCTTAACTGCGCGGGCAAATGACACTTCCCGGTTCCCCAGGCCGGGTTGGTTGGTTGAGGTACTCCACCTTGAGCCTTTGACTCAAAAGGCTGACCCATAAGGCAGTGGGATGACGTAGGGTTTTGTTCGGGGACCCTGACCCTAGCCTCTGACTCAAAAGTCTGACCCACGAGGCAGGGGGAGAAGGTAGGGTTTTATTCGGGGACCCAGACCCTAGCCTCTGACTCAAAAGTCTGACCCACGAGAAACCGTTGGGCGATCGGAGTGTGCGGTTTTTGGGGCCGACCTTTTCTAACCCGTCCTTCCGCGGGGGAAGGCAGCATCGCTGCTCCCATAAATATGGACATGCTGGTCGACTGGGGGGAACACCTTACTGCCTCCACACTCCTGTCGCAGAGGACAGTATGACTTTACCCCCAGACCGCCTCGTAGCACGATTACTCGTAGTACGGGGTCTCGCTGCTCTTGGTCTGGCTGCTCCCCTTTGGCCTTCCTGGCATGGTTGCACCTTATGGAACGAAGTTCCAGCCAGTGTAGCCCGCGGGATCATTGCAGCACTGAAGCCCGACCACCACGTCAAGGTGGCAGCTTTAGGTCGGGGTTCCAAGTTGTTTACAAAGCAGAAGAAATCCCCAGCGCTGGAGCGATACAAGGTTAGGGTTGAACTGTCATACGTAGAGAACGCGTTATTTTCGTACCTGACCTCATTCAGATAGTTTAATCAGTCTTTCTAGTAGACTCTCAGCTGGCAGTTTTCTTTTTTGGTTCTAAATGACACCCATTCTATCAACTGTCCTATAGTGAATGATTCTATAGAGTAGAGCGCATCCGGTCTACATATTATCCGTTTCAATGGAGTTTCTTCAGTGGAGTTGTTGCAGTGGGTTATCTGTATCCGATTCAGATTTAGGTGAACCTTTAGTTTTAAAGTGGGTCCGATACATCCCGATACATCGAATGGCGTATTTCTATGTTATTCATCAAAGCTAAACACTTGAGAAAGATTGCAAGTTAAGTCAACTGATTTTGGATGTTCATTTTAAACG